AAGATTACTTATTCCCCCAAATATCTAATAAAAACTACTTGTTTAATCCAAGAGATAGGAAAATAAGATGGCTGAGTGTTAATACTAATGGGGTGGCCGACCAAATGAGGAATAATAGGACGTATGAGAACTCGATCAGGCGAGAAAATGGTAAAAACATGGGATAAAATATGAGTAATAGATTAAGAAAGTGGCCTGAAAGAAGAACTAAGAGGGTAATAAACAGCACGAACCGTAACTACGGGGAAACCCTTGAATAAAGTCCAGCTGGCAGCTGAGGCCTCCACATCCAAGTAACTAGGAGCCACCATCTGAAGAGCGGCCCAAAGGTCACGGGTGCTCGCAGTGCTGTAGGAATGTCGGTCTATGTAGCTTCGTAGGCCATTACGAAAAGCCTCTTCACCAATAAAAGCGTTTAGCATGTGAATCAGACATGCACCTTTGGAGTAGGAGACATCATCGAAAATTTCGCATATATCATCAGGACTAGTTACATTTACCTGGTTGCATACAAAGGGAAGAAATATTCATATAAACAAATAATTATAATGGGAAGATGTATACCCACAGAAAGAAACATAAAAGATAATGTATTTCCTTCAAGGCAAGGTAGATCTCGCGACTTAAAAACCTAATGGAATCAAGGCTATCATTGAATCTTATTATAAGAAAAAAGGTCTGCTGTAACAGTAAATAAATTAAGAATGTAGCAAAATATGTATTAGATGGCTTAATATTTCAGTCCGTAAAATGGGATAAGCGGATTCATTTGAGGTAATGGTTTAATCTGTAAATAAATGTTGCTCAATAGTATTCTGAGAATGAGCTGATAAAGTTTCAATCTATCAGGAAGTTCATGCAATAAATCTTAAGTAGCTGAATTTGTGGATACCTAGCAAAAATATCATACGAGGAATAATGTATTTTAATAGCAATGTGATGCCTGAGAACCAATATCAAAAAATGGTCTTTTATTTTAATAAAAGAACTACAGGAAACGTGAGAATCAAGACAAAAGTGAGCATTTCCCTACGATTATAGTAACCTCAGTAAATGTTAGTTAATATTTATACTTTAACTATAACCCAAATAAAGTTAATTCAAGTGAAGTGAAAATATTTCGTCGAAAATACAAGAGAAGCATTTAAATTAATAATTATGCCGAGCAAAAAGCATAGGTAAAACAAGTTTCATATTTCTGAAGATATGCGATAGTCACTTCAAATAAGACAATGTGGAGTCAGAAATAGATATCTGAAGATGAGTATGAAAAAACGAAAAGAGCAGAGAAAAGTATAATGCTGAAACAAAAGTCAAGAGTCAGTATTTTTGCATAGATGACCTACCTCAACAGGATGTGAACTCTCCAGAGCATCTAAACGCATAGAATGGGATCGTTGATGAACAGCAAACAGCATCTTAAGATTTTTTTTAAAAAAGATAGAAAAATTCGAACAAAATAACGCTTGTTACGAGGAGAGTAACTTGGTCTCGATGGTTCACCTTATATATAATTATAGGAATAATGAGTCGAGGTGGAGTCATTATGAAAAGAACGTGAGGAGTTTTTGTTAGTGACATGACACAAATCAACCTAGATCAATGAAGGGAAACCTTCAAGATTAAGTATTAATAAGGAAAATTTAATGAAAATACTGCAAGTCGTATGCAACAAATTACGGTTGAAGATCTATTGGTAGGTTATAATATGTTATAAAAAGTAAATAAACATTCTGGTTTATTTGATTTTTAGGACTGTGAAGGAAGAGGAATCTGAAAATGTAGTAATGGGTAAAAATCTCCTACCTACCTACACGCAAACAATTATTTGAGTTTTATTGTAATTTTCATGCAGAAACGACTACCACCTCGATCTTGTTTAGTTCGACTTTCCTGGAATGATGACAAAGAGAATTTAAGGAACGCTTGATAGAAGGAAATAATAACGATACTTTGGTTAATGATGCTGCAACTTTCGTTTCGATTCATAAAGCGGATGGAACCAATTAATGGATTGGCCTTATCAGAAACCTAAGGAGTTGACTGGATTTTTGAAGAGTCCCCAGTTAACCGCTCTGCAACCAAAATTAATATGT